GTTATTGTTTCATGAGTTAATATAAAGTTGATTGATCTTATCGATCGACTAACAATTGATAAGGGGCTATTTTCTTAAAAACCTGCTTTCTCTTGTATCAAGAGAGTCAATCATGAATGGTTAATCTTTTATAATATGCCGACTTTAAATAATGAAGCATGTCAATATATTTTAACAATTTATTTTGCCAGCTGTATTAAATACTGACTGAATAAACAAAAAAAGTGGATTTCTCACACATTGATAAACTGGACATTTTTATAAAATACYAGTCTAAAGTTTGAAGTCTCTACTTTTGAATCAAATTGAAGCTGAGTCTCAGAGAAGGCGCACCTTTCCAGTTAGAGCAATTTAAWTGGACCATGTGATGTGTCTGCGGAYGTAGGATTTTAACCTAATAAACCATTATTCGACAATTAATCATRAGTCGATTAATTGTTTGCATCCCTACCTCAGTGTTATCAGAATGTGGAGTGCAGAGGGAGTGAAAGTTTTCTCACCGAGATCAAGGTAGCTGACATCGAAGCGCTGCTCAGCGGACAGGTCGAGCAGCAAAGAGCAGAAGTTGGAATCCGAGGGCATCCCCAGAGGGTGGCTGCGGAGCTGAAGGATCTTCTCTCCCGCTGAGTTACGCAGAGAGTCCCACGTGCAGCTGAAGCCTTTACTTTTACCTGTCTCCGCTCTGCTTCCCATATGCTGCATGATCAGGTAACAAATGTTATCATTTCTCATGCAAATACAAAGGAAATGTTTGTGAATGTCATTCTTCTTTTTCTCTCATAGGACTTCCCAAAAACRAAGTTTACTCGTGTTTGAGTCTCACCAAATTAAAGGTGTCTTCTTCTGCGTCAGCCTCATTGCTGCTCCTCAGGTCTACGGGCACGTCGTGTATTCGTGAGAGCATCTTAGCGGCTGCATTCCTCTTGGCTAGCTTTTTGGACGTACCACTTCCTGGATAGGAAAAGCAGATCACTCTGTCATTTAGTGGGACGTGAAGACAACCAAAGGAAATACAGATTTTGGTCAAGTGAGAAGATAATATTGTAGTTTTTCTGTAAGCAAACACAAATTTGATGTTCTTCAGTTTTAATATGTTGTTTTCCATTAACACTAATTCAATACCTAACATAATTCAAGCACACTCTTTCCTATAAAAAGTAAACTTGCAGCACATACTATGAACAAATGAGACATTATGCAACGTACCTATTTCCACAAATCTTTCTACTCTGCAGGTCATAGTGAACTCTTTACGGTGTGCCGGACCAGACTCCTGGGTAACTGTGTATTCTGGCAAACGCCATCCTTTCTGCACCACCAATTCCTGTCAGAGAAATCAAACAGGAAGAAACATGGAGTAAAACTATGCCCCGTTAACAACAAAAACAAAAACTCAGTTTACTAGCTAATCAAGCAGAAAAATAAACACATCAATTATTTGTTTAATTACCTGCAGAGCCCCCACTGGGTTACATTCAGACTGCTGAGAACTGCTCGAGGTCTTCATCTCCGACTGAGAGCTACACAGAAGTTGAGAAAAGAGAAAAACAAATGGAGAAGTAAAAACCACAGAAATCTAGATCTCGTTTTTGCTCAATGTTGACACATCAGTCTGGTTCGTCTGCTTTATGCGACGTCATTAAATACATCAAACATAGTAAAATAAGCTCTGACCTTTCTCCATCAGTAGACACATCAACTTCAATAAAGCCGTCCACTCCAACACTGACTACAGCTGGATCCCCGAGGCCTCCTTTGAGCATCTTCAGAGCAGCCTCGGCTGCTTTATGCTTGGCTGCCTTCTTGCTGGGCCCCTGGCCCGTGCAGCTGATCTCTCCGACGGAGACGCGGAACGTGAAGTTGGGCTGGTGGGCCTGTCCCTCGGCCTTCAGCAGGTCGTACACTGGGGTCTTGCCTATCCGCGTTCCATACTCCTGCAGCAGACTGATGGGCGTCTTTCCGGGATTCACAGCCAGCATTTGCTCAATACTGTGAAAAAGCAAAACCAACAGAGTTTTACTGAAATAAGCTGTTTTGAGTCTTTAAAATGTGTTAGAGCTTAGATCTGATATTTAAACATTCAGCAAGTATTAAAGCACAAAACTGTAGTAAATATACTTAAAGTCAAGATTGGAAAATTTGGTTTCAATGAGTTTGAGAAGCAGCAACAAAGATTTAAAGATTGCTGATAAGATTTAAAAGCTTTATGATGTTTCCAATGAAAATAAATCATTGCTATTGCTGTTAGTTAACCACTATCACAATATAGAGTAAAATAATAACAGTCGAGTTTTGCTATAATTGGGAAACCCCTCATTGGACTGCCCCTAAACAAGATACTGAAGCCTGTACTGGTCCTGGATGTGCTGATTGGTGTATAATTAAGAATATAAAAGAAAGGTACACAGTGTGTGAATGAGAAAAATAACATAACACAATAACATTAAGCACAATGCAGAACCTGGAGAGGTTAAAAGGGTGGTGTGTAAAAAAAGTGGATTATTGTAATATGAAACTTTACACAAATGTTTAAATCAGAACTGGTCATAAGAAAAAGATGCAGGGAGGTTTTACTACATGCAGTTCTAAAACCAGCACAACGTGAAATTAAACAAAAAGAAAATACCACAATTACAAAACAACAACAACAACAACAACAACAATAATAATAAACAAAAAAAAAACAGGTAATTTAGTGGCCAAGCTGATTACATTTGGGTATAGAAATAAACACCAGGACAGAGGATTACAGGTGTAATGATAGTAATGATAAAAAAAACCTAAAATAATATGATGAAGTTTAATCCAATGGTTTAGCTTTGATGGCGGCGCTTAGCCTCACCTGGAGTCCCCGGAGTTTGTCTTCCAGCTGTCCGATGCTGTCTCGTCGTTCATTCCCTGTTTCGCGCAGACAGAACCGTTCGGTTTCAGATGGCAGATCCCCCCCCACCAAAACAGATACGTACTAACATCAGACGGTATTTCTTTTGGCCCCCAAACAGATGACAAGGCGGCTACAACATCATGAAAAGTACAACATGAAACCCCACCGCTGTGCGACAAACTAGGGCTCATAAATATGACGTAACAGCGTCCTGTGGAAACTCGACTCCTGATTGGCTCAAAGCAGCTCCGCGCCAGTCCGTTCACTATTTTCAGTCATTTCTGAATCTGAGATAAACTTAATAAAAAATAAAACTTTATAAAACAATTGACCGAAAATCTAATAAAATTATATATACAAAAATAAATATACTGTGAATCTTATTCTTCTGCCTGTTCGAGGTCACACATTTTCATTTAAATTAAGATCTAAGCCTAGGCATTTTAGTAGTGAAATTAATAAGGAAATAGCTTACTTTAGTTGTTCTGTTTATGCAATGAAAGTTAAGTAGTTAATGATGCAGTTAAGCCTGAGATTTTCATTAATTAATTTGAGAAGAATTAATGGTATTCCATTTGCACAAATTTAACCAGCAGAGGGCGACATGCAGCTACTGAGATGATTAAAGGCTCTGAGATGTGCGAATGAAGAGATCTTTGGTGTGTCAAACACCTGTCTGTTTTTTAGGTGAAACAAAAAAGTTTTTTAGTTGAATGAAAGCAACTTAAGTTATTAAGCTAAATTTTAGTAGTTGATGACAGATATATTGTAAAATAAATGATTGCAGAGACAGTTGTGCATCAACAAAAATAAAAACATTCAAATTATATTCATTATGCTTTAGTTTTAAAATTAAGTTACATTCTTGTTTTTTATTGTCACAGCACTTACAAACAAGGATATCTGACAGCTGAACAAGAAAGTGCATATAATCATCTTTAAACAAACCAGAAATGTACAAAATATCAAAATTATACGAGTTATTTTCTGTAGGTCCATTTTTCAGTGATGTGTGGTGTGAATGGCAGGATTACATTGCAAAATGAGACAGCCGCATTAGAATAAAGTCAGTTTATTATATTTATTTGTACTGGCAGGTTGGCAGCTTGACAAAGGTAGGTCCGGTTTTTCTGTTTAGTTTGGATCCGTTTGCGTCAGTGAGAGGATTCATGCAAACCCGTTAAATCCTTTRGACCCACAACTTTTCCAATAAATGCAGCAGCACTTCCACATAAAAAAATTATTCAGTAAATTTTCCACCTTTCAACAATTTTCTTTTATTTCTGTGGCTTGACAATTAATCCCATAATGACTTGCTTGTAAAGCTCTGCTGGCCACGTTTGATGTAAAGCTGGGATTTTGATGGCTTTATCCTCTGGCATCAATGTGTCAGAGTGGATAAGCAAATGTTGCCAAATGCAACACAAAGTGAACCAACCACGGCAGTGAGGAAAGCTGTCTCTTATTTAAAACCCCCAAACCAACGAGAAGAAGGACAATTAATCTGTGACCAGAGTCTCTCTTCCCCCAAAACTCATTACTCAAAGTTTTACTGTTGATTAGCCTTCATTTGTTGACTGGATGCTCTAATTTATTGGCCTATAAAGTCATAATGGAAATGCTTTTAATTGAGCTGGTGGTTAAATGACTGACTGAATGAGATCAGACTTTTCTTAAGTTAAATTTGTAGSATTTCTTGAAGGAATGCACATCACCCGCCGCCTTTCATGTCAGAGTTAAACAAAGCCTTTATGCTGATAAATGACAGAGTTGTAGCCATTTTAATGACGTCATGAATCAGCAGTTTTGAGGATGACTCTAAGCAATTACTGCATCAATATATGTAAAATATCAGTCACAGTTATGTTTGCATTGGGTAATGTTAAGATGTGGTGTCCGTTTTGAAATAGATTGACTCCAAGGGTTAATCAGTTGAAGATTTACTTCTAATGAGTTTCATTAAAATCTGTCCAGTAGTTCATGAGGTGTTTTGCAAACAGACAAACAGGGGTGACTCCAAAGTTTAAAGCAAAAATGTAACACAATCCAAAGCACTTGGAGTATGTTGGGAATAAAGTTAAGCGATTACCACTCCAAAATTTAGGTCATTATATGTAGAACTGACTTTAAAGCCAATTTAGTGATCTTYTGGCTGTAGTGGCCATCTTGAGTTGGGTTGGCCCCAAAACTTTATAAACGGTATATCCAGTGATTATCWCCTAAATGTTTTATAAAAAATCWGTTTATTGGGTCACGAGATATTTTRCTAACAGGCAGAGTTGAGTCCAAATGGTCGATCTTTTTGTTTGCACTTAGCCTGTGCKTTGGGGATCAGTGTCAACTACAGCCAAACCAAATTTTTATATCTGTAGAGTTGACTGTGTATTTAAAATGTCACTTCCTGCAARTTCCGATAAAATTTGTGCGGCGGTTCATGAGATGATTTGTTAACGAACATAAACACAAACACAAAGCGTGATCTTTTCGGTGGCGGGCAACAGAAACTCTTCACGGGGGCTTCAGCAAGCAGATTTCTTTTCGTCAGCTTTGGTCTGGTGCAGTGTGGTTGCCAAAATCATATCTTGAAGCTCAGAGCTTGAATGCTCCCTCCCCCTCCTTCCCCTCTTCCTCCATCCACAATATGATGTGTTTCCTTTTTTGTGTGTTTTTTGATCCCTCTCTTGTGACCGAGCTGCGCTGCGGTGAGGCGCGGGCCTCGAGTGGCGCTCCTGTGTTATTTTTGGCAGCAGCGGTGGTTGGTGGCTGCTGAGGGGAAAGGAGACAGAGGGGGGGATCGTATGAAGACCATGAAAACCGAGGCTGTTTAAAGGATTTCTGTCTGAAGGAATTGCTGTGCAATGATCGGAGACTAATTGTGGACGTGTGTCACCCTGAATTCATCTGCACTGAAAAGAGCGGGCATTGGCCAYTTTTGAAGCAATGTTCTGCCAAATAGTAGTTAGCCTAGATGAAAGCATCAGCAYAAAGAAGCACATGTTGGTTTTTCTACTGACAATAGAGGCTGTAAGCTATAAAATAAAAATGTACACTCTAAAAAAATTAAGTGTTGAATTTACCTAACCAAGCAATTTTATTGTTTAGAGTGTAAAACTACATCAAATAGTGCAGTTTAAAATAATTTTCCTGTTGTGCAATTCTGAAATCTGAGTAAACAGCCAAAATTTACAGGATAACGTGGGTCACTTGATTGACCTACATTAGACTGATTGGCTGTATCTGTAAACAAATATGATGATAATCAGACAAGCATATGATCTCAGAAAAGGCATTTAAGTGGAAATACGAAAGTGAATCTGTTGCTAAATGTGAAACAATCGAAAGAAAACTAAAAGAACATTCCTCAGGTCTGAGCAAAAATATGTAGCCTTCCAGTGCATCAAAATTTTCTTTTTTGTTTTTATTTTTGTCCCGTGCAGCTCTTTCACAGATGTGGCCTTGGCTGACYTGTTTGCAGTCACTTCTGCGGTTTTTGTAGGTAAACAAAAATGCATGTGAATGCTGGCAGCCAAATTTGCTTACAAATTTTAAATTAAATGACATATTAACCGCCAATATGAAAAATTGTGTGATTTTTCTTTAGACCCCTTTGCAAATTATTGCAATGAGCACCTTTAACATCACCGATCTGCAGTATTATATGGGTACACTCAAAATCAGATGTTATGGATTTACTATGTATATATAT